CAACCAAACCAAACCAAACCAAGCACCCTATATATTATTTGATTTTCGGATTCTAGGGAAAAAATAGAGTAAGTTTTATCAAAAAAGCATATACCTAAAATCTAAGGATTTTGACATATTTTCCATTTTGTAAAAATGAAGAGTAAATTTTAAATTTCGATAACAGCTAACTAAATTTTAGTTGACCTTGTATAGCCTGATATTTAATTACAGTAACCATTGTATGTTAAACCAAATTGAAATTTGGCCCGAAAAGTTATACAGAGTGAGACAAAATTAATATAGAACATTAGTCACTTTTAAAAGCAAGTTACTCCTTTATTTTAAATGGAACACCCAGTATATTATTCCGGTGTTCAATGGTGAATTTATATATCTTCAAAATATTATGAAGGTTGCCTACCCCTCAGACGAAAATTTTTCTAGATATTTTAATTTTTATGATTTTGCGTCAGTAGATCTTTATTATTTGAAAAAATCTAGGGTGCCTGTGATATACCTTTTGTGAATTTAACTAAAATTAAACATTGTAGAGTAAAATACTCAACGGCAATAAAAAGATACACGTTTAAAACATATTTTAATTATTATAGAATAAAAACTAGATATAAACCTATAATTATTTGACACAAATTAGCTAGATGAAATCAAATGCTCAAACTGCTTCCTTTCGTGTTAAGCATAAAATGATTGTCTTTTCAAAAGGATCTTTTCATTAAAAGACATATGTGGAGTTCTACGTCAAAATGCAGCTACAATAATTTCTCTAATGTTGTCGACAATAGTTGGTCGAGTTTTGTAAACACTGTCTTTAACATATCCTCATAAAAAAACAGACTAGATAAAATCAGGAGCATTTATAAGTATTCTATTAATTGGTGAATGCGCACTACATTCACCAACTAATAGAATCACATCAATTCTCTCTGATGTAGGATAAGTTTGCATTTTCGGCAAATTTCTGAGAAATTTTTTTGTTTTAACTGACACAAAATGATAACTAGTTGTTAAAGTTGGACTAATTAGACAGCTATGTTGAAGTAAAGTCAGACATATCACAGCCAACTAGATTTTATCAAATAATAAAGATCTACTCAGATCAAATCATGTAAATGAAAATATCTAGGAAAATCTTTGTTTGAGGGGTAGGCAACCTTAATAGTTTTTTGAGGAGAAATGAATTCTCTATTGAATATTGGAATAATATTCTGGGTGTTCCATTTAAAATAAAACAGTAACATACTTTTGAAGATGACCAATATTCAATATTAATTTTGTCTCACCCTGTATAACTTTTTGGACCAAGTTTTAATTTGATTAAAAGTACAATAGTTAATTTAACTACATATTAGGTTTTACTGGGTAAATTCCAATTTAGGTAGCTTTTATTGTAATTTAAAAATTGTTCTTTATTTTTAGAAAATATTAAATATGTCAAAAACCTTACATTTTAGTCATATACTTCTCTAATAAAACTAACCTTTATTTTTCTCCCAGAATCCGAAAATCAATTAATATATAGGGTGTTCCATTACAAAAAAACACAACTTTTATATGTAACTTTTTTGGGGACACCCTATAGAACTCTCTATATTTTTAAAAAGAGCTCTGAATTAACCTATATATGTGTTCACAAAATTTCCTTTCAATACAAACTGTTGTTCTCCTTGAAGCCCCCGCGGCGTATGAGAGGCGCCACCCTGTATAAACTAAAATTCGTAAAATAAATGGCAAATAATTATTATTATTTTTACACACACCACTGGCACTAGCAGTAGATTGTGTTTGTCTCCGAATATATACCCCGGCCCGTCCACGATTCAATCCCAGCATCTTTTATCTTCGTCTCTTCAACGCTAACGGCGCCGATCTCGCCTATCTCTTTCTCACAGGATTGATTGTTGGACGGGCCGGGAATCCACGAGCTTGTGACGTTACTAATTGACATCTTGATAGAAACTGCAGACCTGCCGTGTCTTTTGCGTGTTTTTAATGGACACAAATCGAAAAAAGCGCTTAAAACGGTAATATCGCAAAAAGCGCTTGAGACGCAAAAAATGCAAAGCGCTAAAAACGCTTTCTGTGTGGCCGTGGGCTTATGTTTCTTTTTGAATAGTTAAATAAAACACAAAATTTCCAAAAAGTCAGCGCAAACCACATCCTTCTATCTTCTCTGTAACAGAAAAAATTAAGAGAAAATATTAAGTTAGGCTACTAAGTTATATTTTTTATCTTATGGAACACTCGGTATTTTATTTCATTTTTGGATTATCGGCCCAAAAAAAGCATATATTATAAGGGTTAAATATATTTAAAATCTTTGGTTTTTGAGATATTTGAAGATATTTAAATATGCATGCTACAATAGAATAGATTTGGTTTGGTTTGGTTTACAGCCTCTACATTACTTTTCAGAATTAATTCCTGTGCTGAGTTTAAAGGTAGGGAAATAAACTTTACTGAAAAATGTTATTGCTTCCTTAAATTTATACAGGGGTACCAAAAATTGCTGATCTATTTTAAGGATTGATTTTATATAAAAACTTTGTTATTTCAAATGCAACACCCTGTATTTTTGAAAATAAATCGAAGCAGATTCAAATGCTCTTTCAAACTATATTAGGGTTTCCTATACCTATCTTGCTCATATTTTGAATAAAAAGCGATTTTTCAATAAAATCGCAGTCAAGATGGCTAGTGTTGCCATAGTAATTTTCTAGTGATATTTATTAACTATTTTCAAAATCGACATTAGTTTATGGACATTATTATTTAGATTTATAACAGTTTACTTAAATTTACCTACAATCTACATATATAAATGCTAATGTTTATCTGTGTCGTTTCTACTGAAGTAACGACTTGCTCTAGAAAGTTGCTTTTTTTACTAAAAGATAGCTAATTGGCTCTTCTAAAAACTGTCGTAGTTGTGTTTGTTCTTCATTTAATTAAAAAAAATAAAAAGTATTTTTTTCCTGATGTTGTGGCGGATGCGCCAGGCTTCAACTAGTAGTTTAATAAGTAAGTATTCATTATTTTATCAAGAAAAATAAAGCAGTATCTGCTGGCGCAACGAATGGATATGTTACTAGTGATTTTATTTTCTGAGAAAAATTGCTTCTTGGCCTCAAGGGCTTATGTTCAAAGATATCCAAATAGGAATCTTCCTGATAAGCGTTCCTTTGAAAAACTACTTGTAGTATTTCGCAGAACTAGTAGTGAGGTTTATAAAAATCCTATTAGCCAGAAACCTGTCGTTGGAAGTGAAGGAAATGAATTTGCTGTATTTGGCTCTTTTATAGAAAATCCTTATATCTACAAGTCATCGTAAAATAAATCACAGAACTACTTCTTCGTATTTCTTGATAGAATTATAAATATATATTTAATAAATATCATTTATTAAACTATTATAGGTATATTAAATAAAAGTAAACTGATATAAATTTAAATAAAGTCTAAAAACTAATTTTGATTTTGAAAATAGCTACTAACTGTCACCAGAAACTTGCAATGACGACACTAGCCCTCTTGGTTGCCATTTTATTGAGAAATTGCTCTTTATTCAAAATGTAAGCTAGATAGGTATAGGAAACCCTAATATAACAATAGTTTGAAAGAGCATTTGAAGCTGCTTCGATTTATTTAAAAAAATACAGGGTGTTGTATTTCAAATAACGAAGTTTTTGTGTAAAATAAATATTTAAAATAGACTAGCAATTTTTGATACCCCTGTATACATTAAACGATGCAACCAAATTTTTCAGTAAAGTTTATTTCTTTGGCTGAAAGGTCAGCACAAGAATTAATTCTGAAAAGCAATGTACAGGGTGTTGACAATCTTTTTCATTATAGCATGCATATTTAAATATCTTTAAAAATCTCAAACACCAAAGCTTGTAAACATATTTGACCCTTATAATAAAGCTTTATTTTGTATCGACGGATCCAAATATGAAATAAAATACCGGGTGTTCCGTAAGAACCAATATAACTTTGGTGTGGATCTTAGTTCTGACGTACCCGGTACATTTCAAAATAATTTTAAATTATGTACATTGTCTTTCCACATATACCCATAAAATGTTTTGTTTCTACATATTTCCGTTTTCGTATAAACACACGAATCGAATGAGGTGCCCGCCACCCTGTATATTAAGGAAAAAGGAACCCTACTTTGTTTAATTTCATTAACCCAAACCAGAGTTTCGATATTGAAAATACCTCTTTACATGCATATTTTTGAAAAAAAATTCCGTTTTCTAATTAGCCATAGCGGACATTTTTCCAAGTTGAAAATAAATTACAACGATTTTCGTTGACGGATTTACTTATTAAAATTTTGTTCTAAATGTTATACAATAAGTACTTTCTGAGACACCCGGCTTCCATTCTTAGTTGGTCACTTGGTATATTGAGTCAGTAAATGCTATTAGTTACTAAGATTGATAAAAAATTATATAGTAAATAGAATAATATAGTTAATATAATTATTTAATAACATAAATATATACTGAATATACGTTACTGAAACTACTAAACTAACTAAGTGAAATTTAGGTAGCCTAATTATTTTTAAATAAATGCCAAAATGAAAGAATAAATATAAAATTAGTTAATTCTATATGAATTTCGTAATTGATTGTTTTACTACTTGTAACATATATAATACTTACTAGTGAAAAGTAGTTCTATTATATTTTATGGTTTTTGCTTGGCAACAATCGCATGTTGCATAAGTTACTATATTTGAAGTATCACAATATCTTTCTAAATGTATACACTTGGCATAGAAGAAATTATAAAAAAACAAGAATTAACATAAAATAAGCCCAACAAATTGGCAAAAATTAAAATCAAATTCAATGACGTTGATTCATTCCCATGATGTCGATTTTGTCGTTTATGCATAAATATAAAGATAAAGTTAGACTCCTTCCTACGTTTTTTATTCAATAGGTAGTTTAGTTGATTGTGACGTGTTTAAAAACGATTTTTAGGTTTCCCATACCAGACTTTCGACCTGCACATGACATGAGCAAAATTCCATGGTGGGAGCGGAATGTCAGACCAGATTATGTATCTCTCCAGTTGCATGATGCCAATTTTCACTCAATATTCGTAACAAACCAAACAGTCGGCGAGTATTCTCTGGAATGCAAACTTCTAGACATTTACTATTATGAATCTGAGCATTGTACGGGCTTACACATCGGTAGATCAGGAAAAGATGATAAATATAGTTCCATAGAACAAAGTACTCCTCAGACTAGGTATTTCAATTAACTTATGTGAAACTCAGTGAAATAAGCTTAAAGGTCTTATTAAATATTAGTTGATATAACCATCACACGTTTTTGGTGACATTTATTATCATTATCACATTATTTCAGGATCATTAGGTCATTTAGGCACTTTTTAACACTCTGTAGTTGATTTTTCATCTTACTTTAATATAGTGATGTAATTGAATACAAACCAATGCGCGGCAACAATTTTTTCTTAATTCACTGAGATTGTATAATATTTAATTTTTTAAGGTTATGTATTAAGGTGTATCCTAAGAGTCCCTGTGAAGAGAACATAGTTATATCTGATCCAATGACGCATTCGTTGTATGATGCTTTTGAGAATCAGGGTAACTCTGAACCAGGTCCCTTTAGTGCTAAAAGAGTTGTACATGAAAGTGATACTCCACATAATAAACATCATAAAGGTATATCTCAAGTCTGTCCAGTAAGAGAAGGGACCAGTGATATACAGCAACTGGCACTGTGTAACTTCTATTGTTGGACAGACTATATAAGAATATATTTAATACTGTGGTCGAGAAATGTTTAAAACACAAATTGTTATTTAAGTGTGTAGTCAAAGTTTAGTGGTTGATATTTTTAACAAAAAGTTTATATAAATATAGGTTCAAAAATGCTTTGTTTTCAAAATAACTACAAACCATGACGAGTGATTGCATCAAAGTGGGTAGTCTGAAAATTAACATTTTTTTTTTAATTATATACTAAAAATATACCGGGTGCGTGTCTCAAAAGTGACTCACCCCGATAATTTTTTTATTTTTTCGGATAAAAAAAACGAGATTTGGTATGTTAGTACAGTACGTCTGTCCGTTCTGTAGCTACGGGGTGTCCGTGAGAGGGGAAACGATATTCTCTCGATGTTTTTCGTAAAAAATTAGACGACGCGTCCCATCAATAAAAATTCGACAAATTTGCAAGTAGAAAATAAAATGAGTGGGCGGAGCGATTTGCGGTGACGTACTCGTCAAGTCGACGTATAAAATATATTGCTGTTTATTTAAATGTTTTTTGTCCGCATTGCTTTTATAGACACAGATCCAGCAGACGTACTGTACATGACATAAATTAGGATTGATTGACGTATAAGTAAACCAAACCAAATTATTCGTAAAAAAATGCTTTTTTTCAAATATGCTAATGAGCCACCCTCGTTCCATTTCAAAAATTGAAATATGATTAAAAATACGATTTGGCCATCTTTTACCGGCCAGGACAAGACACTAAAAACATTAGACAATCAAATCTATTTTTCCAAGGCTCCTTGATTAAAAATTAGTGTTTTTAACAAAGGCACTCTAGATTGAAATTTAAAATACAGTATTTTTTAAGCGGAAATGGCAAAAGTTGACATATTATCTCTCCAAAAAATCCTATATGGGTATTTCACAACGGCAAGAAAATCTACAAAATAAAATAGTTATTTTTTGTAAACACTTCTGGGCGTTAATCCCAAACGGAAACTACTTGCCAGAAGTTAGGTTTACAGATATACAAATTTGCCTAATGAACAAAAAAATGCTTAACGTTTCGGAAAAAACTCTTTTCGTCGTCGGGATTTAATCGTCGTGCCATTTAAAAATGAAAAGATGTAGTCATTTCCGGTGAAACAAGAAGTTATGAAACGGTTAGCCGCTTTTGAGACACACCTGGTATAATGTTTGATTATAATCATTTAAAATTAATACAGTGTTGTGGCAGTATGTGTCAACATTTTAAAAATACGTGGCTTATCGTTAATATCTTTTTTATCGTGGTTTGTCGTCCATAATCTTTTAGTCGATTTTGTTGACATTCACGGTAAATTGATACTCTAGGTATCATTATTTTTGCCGCTGCCTCTCAGTTATAAAAATTAAATAATTTTTTTATACCTAATATGGAGAACAAATGGAAATTTTGTCCCCCCAAAAATTCTCCTGTGCCATACCAAAGATATTAGCCAATATCAAGTGAGAAAAATCAACAAAATGGTCTAAAAGATTATTAAGATATTTACGAAAAAACGATTTATTTTCAATGTTTGACACTGTATATTGAAAAGGAAACATTTCTGGAACTGTATATAAAATTTTTGCCTTAAATCGCTCCCCCCTAAATTTGCCAATGTACTTAATAGTACCCTTCTATATCAATATATAATATATGTATATTTTAAGAAAATCTAGGAACTAGTTCTTAGATTTTCATTCTCACTAGTCGGTCGATACTACTGTCTGCTATATATTTTAAAGTACTTTAACGGACTAACCTGTGATATTATTTTTAGATGAAAATGAAGAACTAGTGATACCAGGAGACAAATCTGAACTTGAAGATTTCGTTCAATCGACCAGTTCGAACGTCGAAACGTTGGTAGAAGTGACATTGCCAATAGTTTCCGTTCAGTTACAATCTAAAAGAATCTACGAATTGATATACAATAGAATAAATAACGATTTATTGTTATGGGCCCCTTCAGCGCCTAAGCCAACAAATAGTCTATACAATCCTGTTTATGGTGGTGGAAATCTGCAGGATTTTGATTTGGACGATAATTTTATTATGGCTAAAAGTGGAGTCCAAATAGGTAAAAATTAGGGATATCTTTGATAGTCCAGGGATCTATTCATGCTATATATTCTGTTCAGTTTTGTTCAGTATTTTTTAAGGACTCTATTAATTTTCACTTCATTTATTTTCTGATCATATTTTAGATTCTGACAGTGAGTCGAGCGATGAAGTATCAGAGAATTGCGCAAGCAACATATTTTATTCAACATATGACTCCAAAACTAAGCATTCCCCAAAAAATATCCAGGCGACTGGAAGAAGAAATAGCCAAAGCGAATTTGTTTTATCTCTTAACATTGGCGAAGGTTTGGTTTGTGTAAATCCGCCGGTTAGAGACGCAGCCTCCAATGTAATACCAGGTAATTGTTTTTTCAAAAAATAAACAGTCTCATGCTAACCTTTTTTTGTTAAATTAAATTTATCTGTTGACTATTGAAGTATTACCACAGCTTACTCACTCAGCCTGCTGTTTATCTTCGCTAGTTTTTTAATACACGCGCTTTACCTGCCGCGATTGTTCTCGTACATATGCAAGAATCAGAGAACACTAGTCTCCATAGTTTTTATAAACTAGCGTCAATGGAACTCAAAATCTGACTTATTAACAACATAAGCTAATATCTCGGATATACATGATTGTCAATCGACTGGCTGTTTAAATGAGTAGGTTGTGGGTTGTGGTATTACCACAAAAATTATAAATAACCAGAATCCTATTTCTGTACATTGCTACGCCCAGTCCACCGCACAAAGTTGAATCACTAGTTCCTCACCAAAATATTTTATTATTATACCCATACTACTTATACGTCATTGACAACGCTCTGCTTTGGGTCTCGATTTCCGTACAATGCATTTATAAGTGTACTGAACAAAGAGTGAAGAGTACAAACGTTGCCAAAGGTATAAAATAAACCGGAAAACTGTGCACATCGCTAAGACACGTGGAAGGGGACATGGCAGCTTCGTCGCAGTCGACATAGTCGCGCTGTATAAAAATCAGAAAATTGAAATCCAGTACTTTACTTACTTTATGTGTACTAAACCACTAAACCACTTTGTTGTACTGAAAACTGTTGCAACGAAAATCGTTTTAACAAAAATTCCTTGTCCAAGTCCCATCCAGATCAAAGGGAATTATGGCCTATTACAGAGCGTAGTGTGTAAGTAGGTGCTCGGTAGTGGTCGGGGGCGCTATTAGAACTCCTAATTCAAAAATCGATATCTCGAAATCCATTAGAAATAATTGATTGTAGTTATTTTAAAAACTTTCTTAATGATTCTGCTATATTTTCCTCACAAACACCATATGAAACTTTATACAATCAAAAAAGTTACATGGTTGCTGAAAATTTAGTTCGAAAAAAAAACAAGCCTATCAAAATTTTCTCATTTAACATCCCGGCGAACTTAACTTCAAAATAAAAAAAAAGTTTCAGTATCTCTTTTTTTGGTTCTTGAGTTATGGCGTGTTAGTGTGTTAAAAATTTGAAATTTCAAATTACCGCGATTATTGACGTTTTCTTTATTATAAAAAAATGGTCGCCCTAACAACCTCGCCTTTCTACAACTTAATAATATCCTCAAGCGATTCACTTTCACACATATATGTAAATACCGACCCAAGAACAAGACTTGCTAATACTGTATAGGTAAAGAGTAGTAGACGACGATAACGACAGTTGCTACAACTACATGAAGTCATGCTCGAGAAACTGTCTTTAATTCTAGATCGATTCTAAGAAGTGTCCTAACAAGAACGTGGCCGGAATCATTGAAACAAGAGAAAGGGTGCATCTACTACCCGATCTGGTAGTTAAAATACGAACTGACTGCTTAATCCCCAATAATTTATAGGGGATAAATCGGGCTATCGAATTGAAGATTGTTGACAGGCAGTCCTCGATTTACGTCGTTTCGTGTTACGTCGTTTCGAGTTACGTCGAACAAATTTTTGTCACTATTCCTCAAAGTTACGTCCCACTGTTTCGAGTTACGTCATTTTTTGAAACGATCCAAATTTTAAAAGAAGTTTGGACATAAACAATAAAATTTTAGCAACATACAAGCAGGGTTGACAGATCCTCATAATGAAAAAGCGGGACAGTGTTGATATTATTACTTAATTAAGTTAATTAGCAACTATTACGACTTTTGACGACACCCACAATAAAAGTTCCAACCAAAAATATAAATATATACTTTCTAAATATGTCTACTTTCTGTAGTTGCCATCATAGAGGTTGCCATATTAGTATGAATTATATTTACTATTATATTAGTTAAAAATACTTTTTTGATTAGATAATGAAAAAGCGGGACTGTAAAAATACTTGCCCTAATTTGTTTTTCTTAAAAAATACTTTTTTTTCGTATTTTTTTGTTTCTTGTATTATTATGAGTTTAACTACATATACAATACACTGTTTCTCATACCTCAATTATTTAAAAATACAATAATATTAATATATACAAACGCACATCTCCTTTTTTTATCGTATTTTTATCTTACAAAAGTACCTAACTTCTTCATTTTCTATAGGATCTTATGACAAAATAAGATTCGACTTACGTCGTTTCGACTTAATTTGCGCTATTTTGAAGAACCTAACCTGCCGTAAGTATGAGGACTGCCTGTATTTCATTTCGGTCTGTCGTAATTTATTAAGACAATCAAATAGAGTACGCGCGCTCATTGAAATCTCGTTGCATCATGAATTAAAGGTTGGGCATATTGGCGATATACACGGAAGCGGACGGGATATGGTATTCTGGTTAGTCCTTATTCTATAGTATTACCTCTGGTATACATAAAATTGTAAAATTGAGTAACATTGTATACAATAATCTAATATTAAAAACTCAAGTAGACAAATTTTATTGTGAATTTTCTTCAACAAAAATAATTCATTTTAGGCCAACAAGGAGAATTATTCTTAAAAATAAAGAAAGCAAGTGTATATGTTGTGAGTGGATACAAGGGCGATAATGATTTAGGTTATGTTTGTGTACAGTTGAGTGATGCACATCTCTTTCATTCTGGTAGGTATATTTAAATGTTTATTAAATTACATATCTAAAAATACCGGATGCGTCTCGAAAGTGGCTCAGCCCTATAACTTTTTTAATTTTTTAAATAAAAAAACGAGATTTGGTATGTTAGTATATGACATAAATTAGGTTTGATTGACGAGTTTAATTGTTTTGGGTCACTTCCTGTTTCAACGGAAATGACTACAACTTTTGATTTTTAAATGGCACCCTCGGTATTTTTTTACTTTATTTAATAGAAAGGAGCCTTGTAAAAATAGTTTTAACCGTCTAATATCTTTCGTGTCTTGTCCTGGCCGGCTAAAAGAGGTCAAAATCGTATTTCTAATCATATTTCAATTTTTTCAAATGGAACGAGGGTGGCTCATTAGCATATTTGGAAAAAGCATTTTTTTACGAATAATTTTGTACCACACACTTGGTATTTCGAGGCAAGTTGTCGTTATGAACCGCATGTTACAATTTCAAATAAACCATATGCGAAAATGTCAAAAGTTTACTTATGAAATGTCATTCTATTTAGAGTGTGATTTTCTAATGAATAAAGTAGAAATATACCAAGGGTGTCATTTAATTTAAATCAAAAGTTGTAATCGTTTTCGGTGAAACGGGCAGTGACCAAAAACAACTGAATACGTCAATCAATCATATTTTATGTCATATAGTAACATACACCAAATCTCTTTTTTTTATCTGAAAAAATAAAAAAAAATGTTATAGGGGTGAACCACTTTTCAGACGCACCAGACCGCCAACATTGTTAGGTATTGTTACATGTAGTGCTCAATTTGTGCATTCTATCCTCAATTTTAATAATTATGAAAATACTTAGATAAAAAAAATAAAAAATGTTGTTTCTCATAAATATTGACTTGTACCGTAAAAGTTTAAGTGTGGGCTTATATGTGTCCGTAATTCGTCATCTGTTGGTCCATTTCTCCAATCGCGATGGAATATATGACCTGTCATTTTCAAAATAAACCATTGAAATTGCATAAAAATGACGACGGACGAGGCATGGCTGACGCATATAAACTCAATTTTAAAAGTTTTAGATCTTTTTGTCTTACATATAGGCATTTTATACGCTATTTGGCTAGTTTTTACAGAAAATCCGATGTAATGGATATTTTTTATTCAGTAATTATGTCTGCGATGTTGCCAGATTGGACAGACAGATTTATATTACGATAAATTTTGTTTGTAATCCTTTTATTAAAAAAATAATTTGTTTCGATGTAGATATGCAGCCAGCTCCTAATACCAGTCCTCCTTTAAGAGAAGCTGATTCTATGGCTGGAAAATATTTATTATCTACTATTTATCAATCGGATGGTAAAGTTCTAGCCGGATCAAACAGTCATGGGGCTGAAAGGGAAATGTTCACTGTCGCTGTTAAGATACAAGCCAATCACGAAACACACCACGTGAAAGTAAGAAGCATATTTGCAAATATTACCATGAACTTTTAGAATTTAGAATTTAGAATGAGTGGGAGGGGGGTTAATCACTTCGACCTTACAGATCCATTGTGTCCCCCTTTCTTGAATCATAACTCATCATACAGTCCCAGGGCTTTGACAAAAGCCAGTATCTGGGACGGTTTTATAGAGGGTAGTTCTCCATCTCCAATATCAGTCGTACCAAAATTCATGGCACGAATGGTTGTCGTCTCGGCGCACTCAGTGATGAGGTGTACTGGTGTTTCACCATCTTCCCCACAGAATCGTCATTCGCCGTTTCTTCTTAGTTTCAATCTACTGAGGTGTTCATTGAGGAGACAGTGTCCTGTTAAAAACCCCGTGACAATCCGAAGATTGTTCTTACTCAGACCCAAGAAGATCTGTGATTTTTCTTGATCATAAGCCCTCAGAAACTTCTTCGTACCATGAACTTAGAATAGAATATAATTAATAAATATTTTTTAAAATCTTAATAAATGAATTTGATTTTTCTTCTATTTTTTATTTATAGGTTGTTACTGTGTCACTAGGACTGAACAGAGCTACCTTGAGGCACAGAATGAGCCGAGAACCGAATTCTTGGATATCGCATATTTTGGACTTCTTCAACGTTCAGGATTATCCAATTCCTGGATACATAGCCAAAGACGTTCTGACGGAACTGCATTTAAACTTGTGGGATTGTGCAGTAGATTACAGGTTGGTACTAGTTTGGATATTCACAGCTTTCAATAATAATAACCTTTTAATTTGGATTGTTGAAATCGAAGGTTTGTTCTGTATATCGTTTTTTTTTAATAGAACTCCATAGCCTATGCATATATATAATAGTAATTTTATTTATTTCAGACCGTTCCATTTGCCCTTAAGATCGGTGATCACTATTGGAAACTTCTGTTTGTGCTCACATTTGACAGCCGTCTCTAATACTTCCACCCTGTTGTTCATATTCGAAGATTGTCGCTTGTTTTTGAGCGAAAAAGCTCCCCCTAAAAATGGAGTACCTTCTAATGCAGCTGTAGACTTGGTGAAGGACTACGTGAACGTGGTAGAATTGGCATTATTCGAGATCAGCATCAAAACCGCAAATAAGGTATTTTTTTACAGGATGCGCCAAGAAATGCACAACAAATGGGAAACAAATTATTCAGTGTTTTAAAAATAAGTTTATATGCGGAAACAAAAAAGAACAGTTTGATCGAACAAGCTCTTTTCATAGTTTTCAGCCATCCGAACTTTACATTTTTTTATAAACTAGACGATATCCCGAAAATTTCGAGATCCCGCGGGATTGGAAATATCAATCCCGCGGAATATTGAATTAGTGATCTCGAGTCGGGATTGCATTCCCTATTTAATAGTCATGGCCACAAATTACAAAAATCCTCTTTTTAGATGCAAAAAGCGTAGTTAGGTGAAAATATCGAAAACGCCAAAGAGTTGTTCGGAATTTGATTTTGTTCATAATTGACATTGAAGTTTCATAAACATATAAACACTTTCAGAACATATTTTTAAACCAGAATCTTTTGTCCTTATCTCTTATAGTACTAACATCTATTATTATTTACCTATCGTGTGATATATTTATTTTACAACTACTCCAGTTTTTAGTACCATATTATGAGTGGTATACATACTTTATTGGTGTCTAATATAACACTCTCGGGGACCGAATATTAACTCTGTGGTACTCGAAGGCCAGAACTCGATATATTAACATTATTTCCCTAAGACATATCGGGTTCTGATATGTACCGGTCTACACTTAATTTTCCGTCGCTTGTTCCTCCACTTGACTTTAAAAAAAACACACGTAATAACACAAACTAAAATGCAACAACAATTCGCAAATATTTTTAATTTTCCAGAACGCGGGTATTTGACATAATTTGATACAAATAATAACCAATAATTTGGCAAGAGTTTGATAAGTCTTAAAAATCTTAAGCATACGCATCTGCGTCCGTGCGTCGTTTATCGTTCAGTTAACTGCAACCATATTGAAATATGATCTGTCATTTTTGAAATAAACCAATAAGACTGGTTAAAAACAAGAGACGACGCGACGCATGGCGGATTTACATAGTATTAACCCATCCATAATTAACTTAAAAGATATTAGAAATTTTTTTAGTGAAATAAATGGATACCAACCGTATATTGGTCGTCGGGTGGAAGCGCAACTTTGCCCGAATATACATAACTATGTTCAAGCAATGCTCGTACCACGAATTCGTAGAACCCTGTATATAGGCTTTCTAAATGAATGGTGTAATACTCTATTCTAGATTAATAAAATATGTTGGGGTTGAAAGTTTTCTTTTTTATAAAACATTAAAAGTTTCACTTGTTAAAAATTCAAATTTTTTAGTTTTTATGACGTCTTTGTATATTTATGAAATTTGGAACGTAACATATACCATATACTGGATAAATTTTCTTTTTAAAATTTTTCGATATTTTGTCACTTCACCCCGATTTCTGTATATCTGAAAAATATTTTCTCCTTTGCTGCCATGGCATATGTTGAAAAGATCTTTTCTTGTTGGATATGGTGAAGAAAGTTTGTATATTATTATCTACTCATTAATAAACAAAATCCACTTGAAATATTTATTCCATTTTTTGTCACACCTTGTATAATGTGTTACTTAAGTGAAGCGTATAATCTAACCTACTAGATGTACATGTTATTTCCCTAACAGGTCGTTGTTTTTTTACCTCACATAAGTAAACTATATTGACTACAAACCAAAGATATTTATGGACCAGAGCGCCTCTCTGCTTACTTATTTTTTTGATCATTTTAAAATAGCTTTGATTTGCGTATACGTTACGCTCCATAAAAATAATAATAGTAATTTTTCACTGATATAAATGTTTGTATAATGTTCCAGAAGAGTGGCATTAATCCATACATAGATCTGCGAGCTTCGAATAATATCTTGAACATTAGAACTTGTTCGGATAGCGGGAGGGCATTATTCCAACTACTGACGTACTACATAAACGACGGGGATATAAATCCTGAACCATCTGCTAGTGAAAATTCCACTACCAGTCATGTAGATGATGCAGAAGAGGAACTGGTAACCGTAGAACAATATGAGAACACTTTATCCAAAAGCCAGCAAGATCAGTTGGCAGAAATGCTACAAGAAGCAATGCAAGAAAGTCCGAAAGGAAATAAAGGTAAATATTTTGTTTGTTTTTGTTTAATTTCTACATTGAAAAAATCGAAAATATATGAAGAAGTGAAATAAAATCCTTGAAACCATTCCTGGTAGTCTAGTCAAGTTGTATTTTTGGAGAACAGTTTTGGGGCAGTTCTAATTTATTTTTTTATATTTTTTGGGGCGCTAAATCCTAATCTGATGTTTACTAACAAAATTTTGGACGGAATATTGAAAAAAATGCAAAAAATCGCGTGCGTGGGACCAAGTGTGTTGGACCAAATTATTCGAATATTTTTTTTTCCAAATATGCTAATGATCCACCCTTGTTGCATTTGAAAAAATTGAGGTACAATTAAAAATACGATTTGGGCATCTTTTAACTGACCAAGACAAGACACTTAAAACATTAGACGATCAAATCTATTTTTCCAACGCTCCTTGATTAAAAATTAGTGTTTTTAACACAACCATGGCACTCTAGATTGAAATTTAAAATACAATTTTGTTTTAAGCAAAAATGTCAAAAGTTGACATCTGATATGTCATTCTAGTCAGAGTGTCATTTTCTATCGAATAAAGTAAAAAAATACCGACGGTGCCATTTAAAAATCAAAAGTTGTAGTTATTTCCTGGAGGTTATTGTTAGTTATTTCCACACAGGAAGTAACCGGAAACAATTGAATACGCCAATCAATCCTAATTTATGTCATATATTAATATACCTAATCTCGTTTTTTTATCTGAAAAAATAAAAAAGTAAGTAAAGACGCACCCATAAATTAGAGTTTTGGAGTACACAAAGTAGGTTTTTGCAGAGGCGCCCGATCATTTCTTCAGAGTACATTTTTGCATTTTCCCCATGTTCCGTCAAGAAAGTTTGTTAGCAAACCTCAGATTCGAATTCAGCACTTCAAAAAACATTATAAATAGAAGATATCAGAACTACCCCTAAACTTTACTCCAAGAGACTTTTTTGAGTAGACCTTTCGCCACTGAAAAAAATACATAAAATTATATAAATATAATATATACACAAAGGTGCCCGGTGGCGTAGAGGTACAGGCTCTCGTCTACAAATCTCAAGATGTGGGTTCGATTCCCACACCCGGCTTTTCATCAGCCGACTATTTTTATTAAAATAAAAATATTTTGGGTACCTAGGTCGACTCAGCCTTAAATGAGTACTTGGGATTCACAATCCTGAGGTAATAATAGGCGGTTGAAGCGTAGTGCTAGCCACATTACCTTCCTTGTATACCGAACGGCTCTAGTATAGCAAGCTGTACCTTGCTGCTCCCATGGCGTTAAACGCTATATACGGGAGCTATTATTATTATTAATATACACACAATGTTTACAAATCAGCAAATATTGCTAGAAATGTTGTTACACAACTTTCAACATCTACCTTACATATTTTTGTTTTATTCGTTTATTTTAGTCAAGATGAACGTGCCTATGACAGGTGCCAAACTGTTCTACTTTCCTGATGAAATGGAGGCATTAGAGGACTTGCCTCATAGCAATTTGCCCCAAATCAATGCAGACTTGGGCGAGATCAACCCATACCATTTTGGCACAAGCAAACACAACAGCAGTGACATATACGAAGAGTTCTGTATAATAGATATCGACACAATTTCAGGTTTGTTTCCAAAAGATGGCGTGCCAGAGATCACCTGGTTGACTGACGCACCTGTTAATGTGGTGGAGCATTATATTTCAGCACCTGTAGGAAAAAGAGGTAGGTAGTCAATAACAAATATAACCACTACAGGGCGAGTCTTAAATAAGTGCAAATATTTTTAGGGGTAGTATATTTCGTCCCCAGAAAGACAACTATAAGGTTTTTTTTAAGAAAAAAAATTTGAAAATTTGGAATTTTTTGAAAAAAATGTTGAATTTTTTTTAGTTTTTAGTTAAAAAACATAATTTGTTGATAATATTGATCATAATAATATATTTAAGAACATATCTAGGAATCATAATATATAAGAACAAAGGAAGTGCATCAGACTGCGAAAACTACCGAGGAATTTCGCTATCTGGCTAGAATTCTGGCTATCGGAGAAAAAATTCTTGCAAAAATTATGTATCGCAAACGGGTTTTCGCGCCAGCCGCGGTACCGTCGATTCCATATTCTCCATCCGCCAACTACAGGCAAAAGTAAAAGAGCAGCAGTCTAAACTTTATGTTTTAGATTATTCATCCAGCATTCATTGATCTAACAAAAGCCTTCGACTCTGTGAACAGAGATGCACTTTGGGCAATTATGAAAAAGTTCGGAGTACCCAACAACTTTCTTACAATCTGTAAAAGCCTCCTTAACAACAACAAATCAAGAGTGTCATATCATGGGTCACTGAGCGATCCCTTCCTAACAAGCATAGGCGTTAGGCAGGGATGTGTCTTAGTGCCTCTTCTATTCAATATATTCATGGCAGCGCTGTCCATTATAGTGGACAGCAAACTGCGGGAGAGAGGTTTGGACATTAGATAGAGATATGACGGCGGCGGCGGTCTGTTCAACATAAAAAGACTCACGGCAAAAATACGTACAAAATTCATCACAGAACTTCAAGACGCTCATGACTGTGCTCTAGTTGCAAATACGTTACAGCAATTGCAAGAAATGTTGAACACATATACATAGGCATACGAGGCTTTGGAACTTAAGCTGAACATCGATAAAACTAAAATCATGTGCACTCCCCCAGAAGATCACAACAATGCTATAAAAATCGGAGAAGAATTATTAGAATATGTAGCGGAATTCAATTACCTCGGCAGTTTAACAGCGACAAACAGTTATCGGGCTTTTCAGTCACAGAAAAGCTCATGAAAGAAAACGCCTTGCGTGACCATCTTCTGATGCGTGTCAAATACTCGTCAGCGAGTAGTGGCAGTATGTAGTATGTAGTAGATTAAATTTACAAGAAAATCCAGAAAAGATTCAGTGCTGTAAATATTTTGGGTACCGACGATTTTAACAATTTTTTTTTTGGAAATTTTCAAAGCGAAATAACTAGGTTATTTTGGATTTATTTGAAAAGCGATAAAGAGAAGGTATGTTTCTTTTATTGAAACCTCCCAGCCCTGAAAATATTTCCACTTATTTAAGACTCACCCTGTATAACCGAAGCGTCAGCAATAAATAGTCATACATTAAGAAAAAGACCTAGAGTTTTTAAGTTTAGAAAAAAATATAAACGAATTCGGAAAAATTCGGTCTTGTTTCGGTAACATTGTAGAGTTCAGCAAAAAAAATGTTTTTCTAATCACATCACACAAACATTTTTTCAGTAACTCGATAATAAAAAGTGTTCTCATTTGTTGAGAATTTTTTAACATACCCGGCCTGTATAAGAAGTACTTTATAAGACTATTTGATTAGTTGATAATATAACATAAAGTAAAAACTCTTTAACTGATGAAGGTTTTTAATGTAGCACTAAAGAAGTTGCTCTCTGTTAAACCAAAATAATTATCATATTGGTACTGTCACTTCAGGCTTTTTAAGCTTGATAGCTACACTTGAAAATTCAAAGTTCTATGTTTCATGGTCATATATTGAAACGGGGACGTTGAGACAACTTTTTTTTCATTTAGATGTACTGGAACCTCCAAAGGATTTTCCCACGCCCACTATGCGCTACACTCTCTGCGAAATGTCGATAATCTGGCAGATGTTCGGCGGAAACGACTTCAAAGTACTTGAAAAAGAAGTCTCGAAAAAAGAGGTTAGGTTTTCGGAGAAGCATTTCAACGACCGAGTCACTTTCTCCAGCAATAGTGCTAAAGTCACTTTTAATCAAGACCAAAAATCTGATAACTTATCGTGGATTACGAGAGGTGGTATCGACAGGGACCATAACACGCTCATGGAGCTACAGTTTAATAAGGTAATTTTTTGTCTTGAATGCTTTAATATTTGTAAAACATTCAATGTCTTGAATTTTTCCATATGAAACTTTTGGTGTTACAACAGCAATATAAAACATTCTCCACAATACACAAAAACACTTACTTTTGCACTGGACGCGCGTTTCCCTTACTATGTCAGCATCATCAGCAGATGATTGTGATTGTTTTTTATTCAATGTAGTTTTTTAAATCCCTTGTGGGTCCTCAAAAAAATATAAATACTAAATTTAATACGTACATATCTTCATAAATTATATTTCAGGTTAGATTTAGACACGAATTATATCCAGAATCGTCAAAACAGGCCTCTAGACAGGTGCTGTCAATTTCCGATGTAGAAGTGCGAGATAGACTGGCATCTAGTCAAATTAATAAATTTCTGTATCAATATTTTAGTCAGGCCAGACCTAAGAAGTCTCATTCTAATATGGTGAGTATTTTAACAACACCGATGCACATAAATTCAAGATTTTCTTTACAATATCATTTGAGATAAAATAAAACTATCATTGTGCCGTTCTCTTTTGATCGCACTGTACAGGGTGAGTCTTAAATAAGTGCAAATATTTTCAGGGCTGACAGATAAAAGAAATATATTTTCTCTTTGCCGTTTTTCAAATAAGTCCAAAATATCCGAGGTGTACAAGATGGAGGAAAATTTAAAAAAAAGTGATTTATTTTTAACAAAATTTGAGATCCACTTTTTTTCTTTATGTACATCTCTTTTAGTTCCGTAACCATCGTAATATGCAATATCCTAGCCTAGCTTACCCAAAAGTCAACCTCACCTTCACGCGGTGTACCCTGTTTACACAAACGAGGCTCTGACGTCCGAGTATAGGCGGTATAACCTTATACAATTCTCAGACCTACCATCTTTCTGGGGAAGAGGAGTAGCAAACTACTCCTAGCCGGCCGAGAACGTAGCACAAGGGAACTATCATCGCGGTCCTCACTGTGCCATAGTCATCCCGTGCTACAGTTGCAGCCAAAACTGTGCGGCAGCGTAACCGTTACAGTTAAACCTTTTCACGTAGCTAACACACATCAATGATGGAACATTCGAGTGGGACAAAATCATCATCCGGAGGTAAAATACCCCCTCAATCGGATCTCCGGGAGGGGGTGTCTACTCGAGCGTATCATCGGAGAAACAATGTTTTACGTTTGCGGCGTGGAACGTCCGCACTCTACTCGACAAGATAAATTAAAATCGACCTGAGAGAAGAACAGCACTGGTCTCACAGGAACTCTACCGACTAAATATAGATGTTGCCGCTCTTAGCGAAAACCCGCTTCGCGGATGAGGGTAGTCTCACTGAGAAGCATTACACCTTCTTTTGGAAAGGTCACCCCGCAACACACAGGAGATTTCATGGCGTAGGCATTGCAATCAAAAACGAAATCGCCACCAAATTAACAGAAGTACCTATTGGTGTCTCCGAACTTATGTACTATATATATTAGTATTATAACTTATATACTATATATATTAGGGTCTTATGACCCTAAGGTACCCCATATCAGACAAATCTTACGTCAACATCATTAGTGCCTACGCTCCCACCCTAGACGCTAAAGTTGAGTTTAAGGATAAATTTTACCAAGCTCTACAAAATGCTCTCCAACGAATGCCAAAGCACGAACGAAGCACAACAGGAAATATGGCCTGACGTATTGGGAAAACATGGAATAGGAAACGTAAATAGCAATGGTGAACGCTTATTAACAACATGCACAGAGTATAATCTATGCATCACCAATACGTGGTTCATGTTGAAGGACAAGTTTAAAGGTACCTGGAAACATCCCAGATCAGATCACTGGCATCAATTGGACTACGTAATCGTTCGAAGGACGCATCTAAAAGATGTCAGACTCACAAAAGCCAGAATTGATGCCGAATGCGGCACTGACCACAGACTTTTAATTTCAAAAATGAAAATCCAGTTAAAACCCAAACATCCACACTGTAAAAAGCAAAACAACATGACAAGATTAAACGTACGGGGTCTAGAGACCAAAAATACCGCCGACGCCCTCCGGTAAGCCACCAAAGAATCATTTCCACCGATAACTTTAATCTCAATCTTGGAAGCTGAGGGATGCGATTCATAAAACTAGCGAAGCAGTACTGGGAAAGTCCAACAAAAAGAAACAACCAGACTGGTTTAACGAAAATCAACCTGATATACAGACCTTGTTGGAACCTTTGAATAAGAATACTAAGGAATGAGCATAATGATATCCATGTATTCATGCATGGTGGGCGGAAAAAGCACTCTAGGGTGGGGATCCTTGACAGTTCTGTTTGACGATTCATTTGACACATTTGAATTTGATTTGAAATTTTGTGGATTTGTCAGTCTTTACGGAGCTTATTTTATGTTATTTATTATTTATTCTACTACTGATAGTGGTATAAAGGTAGTAAATCTAGATGGAAATTGTGGCAGAACTTAAATTAACAGTGACACTATCGCGATTTATCGAAAAAGACTCTAAATAGTTGGTTGTATAGCGTGCGGTAGATCTCGGCAAAAATTGAGTGAAATAATGGAACAACTTTTCGCTAGTAAGTGACTATATAATATACATACGTGTAGTAAACCGATCATTTATGAAATTCACTTAAATTAACTAAATTATATATTTTTCTTACATTTTAGCTTTTATTTATTACTTGTCAAAGATTAGATGTCAAAGAATTTAGATACGTTAATTTGACTTACCTGCTTCAGTAGCGTATCGGATGTTTGTGTTAATAAATACTTATTATAACTTATCTATTTTTATTATAATTATATATTTTTATAACAATTTTAATAACTACCAACATTTATTCACAACGTAAAATAAAACAACAAAATATTGAGTCTACCCCACGTCTACCCTACATCATAGTTTTACATTTTTTAAATAAAATTAGAACGACACTGATAAACCGGAATTTAAGTCGGTTTGGTTGAGGCCCCATATTTGAGGCCCATCGCGGTGTACCTAAGATTTTTGATATGCTCCTTCCTTAGTCTTCTTATTCAAAGGTTGGAACAAAAGCATTGAGCACATCAAGCAGTCACTGCAAATCCACACAATCCAAGACTGGTAGATAACTTTAAAGCAGCCAACAACACACTTTGAAGAAATCTGCGCCAATTAAAGGATGATTGGTGGTCACAAAAGGCTAATCAGATTCAAAAGTACGCCACGCATCACGATTATTGTAAATTTTTCCAGGCTGTTAAAGAAGTATATGGCCCATCCAAGAAGGTAAGCTGCCCAATCATGGCACAGAATGGCGAACTTCTAAAAGAGGAAGAGCAAATTAGAAACCGCTGGAAAGAGCATTACAGTCATATCCTTAACCAAGAAAACAACCCCAATATGGAAGCACTAAACACAATACCTCAGTATAACAGCCTCGATGTATTAGATACCCCAATAACAGAACAGGAAATAATGGCATCCATAAAACAGCTTAAAAACAATAAATCAGCTGGCTGTGACGCGATTCCGGCGGAAATCTATAAGTGTGCAAGTAAAGAACTTATTGATCACCTTAAGGCCCTTTTCGATGTCATATGGGAAAGCGGAGAGGTACCTCAGGACTTTCGCAACGCGAATATAGTGAATATATTTAAGAACAAAGGAAGTGCATCAGACTGTGGAAATTACCGGGGTATTTCACTATTGGCTATCGGAGGAAAGATTCTTGCAAAAATTATGTCAACACATATAGAAAAAATCCTTCCAGAATCGCAAACGGTTTTCGCACCAACCGTGGCACCGTCGATTCCATATTTTCCATCCGCCAACTACAGGAAAAAGTAAAAAAGCAGCAGTCTAAACTTTATGTTGCATTCATCGATCTAACAAAAGTCTTCGGCCCTGTGAACAGAGTTGCACTTTGGCCAATTATGAAAAAGTTCGGAGTACCCAACAAATTTCTTACAGTGTGTAAAAGCCTCCATAACAATAATCAACCAAGAGTGTCATGGATCACTAAGCGATCCCTTCCTGACAAATACAGGTGTTAGGCAGGGATGTGTCTTAGCGCCTCTCCTATTCAACATATCCATGGCAGCGCTCTCCATTATAGTGGACAGCAAACTGCAGGAGAGAGGATTGGGCATTAGATACAGATATAATGGGGGTATGTTCAACATAAAAAGACTCAGGGCAAAAACACGTACAGCTGGTTCCAAAAAAATGAAAACGACTTTTTACACATTTTTTTCGAATATTTGGGCAGTGTATATTTAGCAAGTATTTTGACATGTTAAGGTTCTTTTAAGGTTATTGTGACATTGTATAAAACAACTTTGCTTTTGACAAAGTGGCAAATAAATTTTCCAGAACGTCAGCATGACATGAGTAGAGAAATTGGGGACGGTATCATAGAATATACTGCCCGAAATAATAAAAATATGTTTTAAATCGTATTCAATTTTATTGGAACCAGCTGTACAAAATTCATCACAGAACTTCAATACGCTGATGACTGCGCTTAAAACGACTTTTTACACATTTTTTCGAATATTTAGCCCGTGTATATTTAGCAAGTATTTTGACATGTTAAGGTTCTTTTAAGGTTATTGTGACATTGTATAAAACAACTTTGCTTTTGACAAAGTGGCAAATAAATTTTTCAGAACGTCAGCATGACATGAGTAGAGAAATTGGGGACGGTATCATAGAATATACTGCCCGAAATAATAAAAATATGTTTTAAATCGTATTCAATTTTATTGGAACCAGCTGTACAAAATTCTTCACAGAACTTCAATACGCTGATGACTGCGCTCTAGTCGCAAACACGTTACAACAATTACAAGAAATGTTGAACACATATACCTGGACATACGAGCCTTTGGGCCTTAAGCTAAATATCGACAAAACCAAAATCATGTGCACTCCCCCGGAAGATCATAACAATGCTATAAAAATCGGAGAAGAATTATTGGAATATGTAGCGGAATTTAATTACCTCGGCAGTTTGATTTCGGAAAAGGTCAATATCGACTCTGAAATTCAGCACAAGATTAGCAGCGCCTCAAGAGCATTATAATCCCCACCATGTAGTACCGAGCAATTATAATCCCCACAATGTTATATGGTAGCGAAACCTGGGTGCCGTACCGCCGACACATGACCGCCGACGCATTAAACAAGTTGCAACAGAGACACCTTAGACAACTCTTAAGAATCCGGTGGTTCCATCATGTCTCAAACGTCTCGGTCCTTGAAAAGGCTAACTTCGAGAATATTGGAGTCATGGTTACAAAATCCCGCTTAAGATGGGCTGGTCACGTATGCAGAATGCAAGAAAACCGCATACCAAAATCTCTGCTTTACGGTGAGCTTGTAGACGGTAAGAGGAGGCCGGGTGGACAACTCAAAAGGTACAAGGACATTTTCAACGAAAACTTAAAGGGGATTAACACGCAGAATCATTGGGAAGAAGCAGTTCACAATAGAACTCAATGGAGAAGAATTGTAAACTCAGTTAACAGCGACAACCAAAAAGTATAGAGGCAACAAAGCAATGAGATTTTTGAATGTCCGGAGTGCGGTGTAGGCAAATAACATCACGTATCGGGCTTTTCAGTCACTTAAAAAGAAAGAAGAAAACGCCTTGCGTGGCCATCTTCTGATGCGTGTCGTATACTCGTTAGCGAGTAATGGCAGTATGTATGTAGTATGCAATATCGGAGAGATTATAAGGTGGGAATTATAACGTGGGAAAATTTGCGATGAATAGGCAGTTCTAAAAACTTTTCTAAAATATACAGGAAAATTTAAAACGAATTGTACGATTTCCAACATCTTTTTTGCGAAAAATATGTTGAAAGGGGTCGAAATATACCACCTCTTTTATGTATATATTTTATATAGGTACCACTTTTTTAAGACTCACCTTGTGTATTGGTTTGTGATTATTTTAGATATCATCTTTTTTGCGAAAAATATGTTGAAAGGAGTCGAAATATACCACCTCTTTTATGTATATATTTTATATAGGTACCACTTTTTTAAGACTCACCTTGTGTATTGGTTTGTGATTATTCTAGATATAAAAAACTTGTTTTTAGGTACTAATCAAAGCATTGCACATCAGACCAGATGCTAAACTCAAAACTCAAGAATGCATGTTGAAAGTAGCTTTACTACCAATAAGACTAAACATAGACCAAGATGCTCTCTTGTTTTTGATTAAATTCTTCAAAGAATTGGGTGGAGATACATCAGAAACTAACCTGGGTAAATAAATACCAATGTTTATAGAATATAACCTGGATCGCTCCGTGTTAATCCATTTTTATTGAATGATGGAAAGTTTGTGAAACGGGAGAATACATGACAGTGACAGGTGTATCTGTCATTTTAATGCACACGTAATTGTATTTTCTGCAATTTTTTGCGAGCGATCCAACTTGAGCTGTGCAAATTTATAAATCATTTTTTACTAAACTATAATTATCAAAATTCATGCAATTTTAGACACAGAAAAGGAATCATCGTTGCAAAATACGCCAACTCATCAACCTCCTATAATGTCAATTGCTGCCGACGAAGATGAGGAAGAAATTAAGCAGAAAGCCAAACAAGCTGTCAATGAAAATTTAATATTATTAGAGAGCAGATATCACGCAGAACCGGAGGAAAACCTTGATAGTAGTTCCAGTACTACTGCAGATGATTCGCCTGTGTATTTTAGGTAAGTTGTTAATCGTCGTTAAATCAACCTATGGAGGCTAGAGGTAAGGAGAAACATCTCACCAAATGGGAAGAATAAATACATTAAATTAAATGACCATAAAATAAAATGAAATTAGCCAAAAAGGGAGGCATCACGCGCTTTCAAAAATCTCAAGTTTATCTATCTCTTTTTAATTATTTCCTGTTCTAAACATTTTTGTCGGTTCTTGTTACAGCAGCGCCATCTTAAGTGTTCCCTGTTTGATGACCACTTTTCAATACATGAAGTCTCCTTACCTCTACCCTCCACAAATCAACTGTTGAATATTACAATTTGGCAACACGGGGTCAAAATACCGAACGTTGTCAGATTAAATGAAATTTATCCATTTTCCCTAATTTGATAAGTATCACTTTGGTCATACCAAATTTATAGTAAAATTATAATAAACAAAATTAAAACTAGTTACTAGTTAACTACAGGGGATATAAAATAATAGTCAGTGACATTATAACAAGTTTTAATCTTTTTTATAGATACGTAGAATTTTCAAGGGATGTCTTGATCCGCTTAGATTATCAAGGCAAGAGGGTGGATATGAGCCACGGACCAATAGCTGGTAAATAGAATCCACAAATTGTCCAATATTTTAAATAACCTACATCTTATTCTTGATTTAGGTCTATTGATGGGATTAGGCCAATTAAATTGTTCAGAAATAAGACTTAAACGACTGGTATATAGGCATGGACTATTAGGGGTTAGCAAGCTCCTCTCTTATTTACTGAAAGAATGGTTGAATGATATCAAGAAAAACCAGTTGTCGACAATCCTGGGAGGAGTAGGTCCAATGCATGCTTTGATGCAACTATGTAAGTACTGCGACGATACGTGTTTGAATACAGCCTGGGTTTATAGGCTTGGTGCATTCTTTGTCGATGCTGCCACCATCGGAGGATACCGTAAACAGCCGACTAAATAAATACACGGGTTTAAATAGCGAGTATACATAAAATTTGTTATAATATTATTTAAAAGTACTAGTAACTGCATTTTGTGAAAATTCTAAAAAAATAAAAATGTAAATCTTTTGATATCTTCTGAAAGTCTAACGTACATTATAATTTATTACTCAAGTATTTGTTAGATTAGTATTAACACGCCGGCTGCTTCAACTACGGTGGTGATAATCGTTTTATGCACCGCTTCTGCTAGTTGAGACACAACTAGGGCTATCTGGACTGTGTATATATATATATATATATATATATATATATATATATATATATATATATATATATATATATATATATATATATATATATATATATATATATATATATATATATATATATATATATATATATATATATATATATATATATATATATATATATATATATATATATATATATATATATTATATTTTACCCTAATAGTATGTTATACAGGGTCGCTGTTATGTATGGAAACGGTCGCTTATTAGGTAAAATATAGGAAGTACCGCAAAAAGTTAAATATAAAAGTTATAGAGTTTATAAATATCTATTAGCGGGCAATACATTTAAGTATACAGGGTCGGTCATAAAGTCGTGGCACATCGTGGCACAAATTTAATTTTTTTAAATGGAACCCCCTGTATATTATTACATATTTCGGTTCTTCCTTCAATTCTAAGCAAAAATTGAAATACACACAATGTACCTCAAACCAACCGTTTCCGAGTTATTGACTTTTGAAAATATCACTTAAACAATTTGATTTAATTAATTTCGATATGTTCAGTTTCATATAACGATGCCATTCTGCCGAAACTGTGATACTTAATAATATTTGCATAGATTTAGGAAGAACAGATATCACATTTTGCATTTTAACCCGATCAAACAACCGAAGGTTGACTACGTACTGTAAAAACCAACTGAGATAGAGAAGGCGGCATTGCCACATATCAAATTTGCGCCTATCTACTTAGTTTGATTTGCAGAAAAGGTGACGTTAAAACCTTAACCGGATATCAATAAATCTCAATTTCATAATTAAAATAATAAAGTTTATTTTTAAAGAAGCATGCGTATGCTATTAACCAGAGGATATATGCGTTACTATTAAAGGACATATTTACTTTTTAGTAATGTGCTGAAACGTCTAGAACTATTGGCAACGTCGCTACTAGTCTTCCAGAATGAAATGAGCCGTCCGTCCCACCACCCCTCGCGATGGTCCTTGGTCTGTTGTAACGTACTACCACCGGTACTACGTTTAGCTTACGGTGTGTTTGAAGTCAGAATCAAGTCGAAAGTGAACTTTTCAGTGTTTTTCGGTAGTTTTGGTTTTTGTTTAACGTACTTTTGAATCTGAGAATTTTCAATATGGTACGACAGTGTCAAGTGTGTGGAAAAATAAGCTCAAATTACCGGAATTTGTCTTTTCACAGGTAGGTATTGTTTTGACATTTTGCGCCATAATTGTACATAGGCGTCCACAAGGGATACTCTCACAATTAAAATAATTTATAATTATTAATACTATAATCATTTTGATCTATTAAAACAAGAACCTAGTAGACGGTAATTGAATTATAATTCGTCTCAATTACTAACAATTGTAGATCATAACAAATTTGAATATAAACGTTGCATTTGAAACTTTATTATAAGCCAGAAAGTGATATTTTTCTTAAAATTGCGTCATATTTTGGTCATTATGGTATACAATATTCTAAAGGAATTTTGGTCAACAAATAAACAAAGGTGTTTACCCGACCTTTTCACATTTTATTGCTTTATTATATCTGCCCCTTCGGCCTTGTGTAGACAACTTCTAAAACACCACTGTCCAAAACTTCCACCGTCCAAATACCTCTACCTAGAGTTATTTGTACGGCGTGTTTACCTTTTTTAGAATGGGACGAACTGTAAATAATTCTTTTGGTTACTAGTTTTATACATACCTATATACAGAGTGACTCAGGCCTCCAAAAAAGCTTTATGCCTATTACTTTTTGGTTTGTGATTTTTATTTCATTTTTTTGAAGATGGGGGCCATTGTAACGCACATTTTCAAAATATTTTTGTCAACATACAGGGTGATTCAAACCGCAATACATATGCTTAATACAGTTCATGAAGATTAGGACATTTAACTAAAATTTGATTGTCTGATGAAGCTACCTTTAAAAGTAATGCATTTGTAAATAAGCGTAATATTCATTATTATGCGACAGAAAACCCACACTGTAGCACACAGATTTGATACTTTTAATGATAAATACCTTCTATTGAAAGACTGAAAGGCAATTGCCTCGTATCAGAGCCATCTTCGTTGAGCAAAATTGACACAAATATACTTAATTATAAATTATTTTAATTGTGAGAGGCTCCCTTGTGGTCGCCTATGTACAATTATGGCGGAAATATAAAATGTCAAAACAATACCTACCTGTGAAAAGACAAATTTGGGTAATTTGAGCTTATTTTTCCACACACTTGACATTGTCGTACCATATTGAAAATTCGCAGATTCAAAAGTACGTTAAACAAAAACAAAAACTACTGAAAAACACTGAAAAGTTCACTTCCCACTTGATTCAACCAAAAATAAGCCAAACGTAATACGCTACAACGGAGAAGACCGAAAGTCAAATCGTGTCTTATATTTTCAAAAAACACAATTTTTTCATTAAATATTGATTTTAGGTATATGAAGTTATTAATAATTCAAGATTAAACAACTATTACACAGTACTTCACAGGAAGTAATTGTTTAATTTTATATGGTTTAACAGTAAACAGTTTTAAAATTCTTTGAATTTAATTTTTTGGGAGGGCTTTAATTGGATCTTGTCGCGGATGTTTAAAATTGATATTCGTAATGCCGCGACCGCACATGCGGCCAGTCGGCGTTATCCAAGCGCTCGTCATCGGACTTTCCGTCCACACATGCGAGCATCGCCGAGCTCTGATAGCAGCAACATAGAGAGGAGTGCTCGTTTTCGTAGCCGATCGAGTCGCCGAATTCCAACTTGCTCGTCCACACTGATCGGAGATCGGCGACGAACGCTCGGAAATCGCCAAATGCCGCATGTGCGACCGCGGCATTATATACATACATAACTACCGTATGACCGAAAAAAAGTTGCGATCGATGGCCATATTCCCCATTTAATTTTACATATAAAATGACAGTGATCTCGATTTAATAGCCATCGCTAATGCTGTTTTCTTTTAACCACTACTAACTGATACTACTCATAGAGATACAATATGATCGAAAAAAGCGGCATCAACGATGTTTATAAAATGCAGATCGCTGTCATTTTATATGCAAAATTATATGGGGAATATCATCAATCGTCGTTTTCAAGCCAACTGGACGCCGTTTTTTTTTCATACGTTTCATATAATTGAAAAATATAGAAGTAACTGTAAGTTTAAATTGTAAATCGGCGTCGGAGCGATTTTCGAAAATTACTAACATTTCAACATATCCACATAGGTATATAATATGTGGGATATTAATGATATTATTATATTAGACCTTATAAAAAAACTCATCTGACGAAAAAGTGTTAATGTAGTATATTAATATGGAGTAAAAATTTTACTAATTACTTTACTTTTACTTTACTAATTAAATTCGTTCCAAAAAACGATACGCCACTGGCCGTTAGAACAATCCAAATGCGCCTAGTTGCCGGGGTCGGAAATTTTAGACTTCTCTGTCTTTTCTGTCCTTGTCTGACACATTGTAATGTTTGATACACTACCAACGAGTATTTATGAATGAGATGTTCGGTCTATCTTTATAATGTCTTTGAATATTTGACATTAGTTCTCAAGTTAGCATTTATAGATGTATAAAATGAGAGTATATGAAGTCTGGAAATTACAAATTTTTCGTTTAACATTTCAATTCTTCAATTTATGTACATTGTGTATTACGATTATTGCTTAAAATTGAAGGAATAATTAAAATATGCAATAATATAAAGGGGTTTCATTTAAAAAAAAGTTTGATGTGACACAACTTTATGACTGACCCTGTATACTTAAATTTACTAGTAGCTAATAGGAATTTAAAAACCCATTACAACAGTATGACAGTTTCGGCAGAATGGCATCATTAAATCAAACCAAACACATCGAAATTAATTAAATCGAATTGTTTAAGTGATATTGTACTTTATCTTTTGACTCAAAAGTCAATAACTCGGAAACGGTTGGTTTGAAGTGCATTGTTTGTATTTAGATTTTTGCTTAGAATTGAAGAAAGAATTGAAATATGTAATAATATACAGGGTGTTATATTTAAAAAAATGAAACTTTGATGTGCCACGACTTTATGAGCGACTCTGTATACTTAAATTTATTACTCGCTAATAGATATTTCAAAATCCTATAACTTTTGTATTTAACTTTTTGCGATACCTCCTATATTTTACCTAATAATCGTCCGTTTCCCTACATAAAAGCGACACTGTATAGATGCATATTTAATGATTTTATGAACTTTGTTTACTCACTTGTTTCGTCGAACTGCCTGAACCCATTTTTGCTTTTGGTCAAATCGTGTCGGTGTTGATCAAGTTGGGAAATTGTAATATATTCCGGGAGAATTGTATTGACTGTTATTGCATCTATACAACGCAATTATGCTCTCCTTTTCGTGTTGACATTTTTTTGGCAATTTTCTAAATCTAAATAAATGGATTTTCATTTGTTTTGAAATTAAAAGTTGGTGGTCAGTACCATATTCTGCATCTATTCTTAGATGCGTCTTTCGACCGATTACATGGTCCAATTGTTGGCCAAGTGATCTGGGATGTTTCCAGTTACCTTTAAACTTGTCCTTCGGTATGAACCATGTATTGGTGATGCAAAGATTATACCCTGTGCATGTTAGTAAGCGTTCACAATTGCTATTTACGTTTCCTATTCCATGTTTTCCCAATACGTCAGGCCATATTTCCTGCCGTTTGCTGACACGGGCGTTAAAGTCACTTAGCAAAATGATTCGTCCCTGCTTTGGAATTCGCTGGAAAGCATTTTGTAGAGCTTGGTAAAATTTGTCCTTATCCTCAATAGCTTTAGCGTGTAGGGTGGGAGCGTAGGCACTAATGATGTTGACGTAAGTTTTGTCTGATATGGGATACCTTAGGGTCATAGGACGTTCGGAGACATCTATAGGTACTTCTGTTAAACTTGTGGCGATTTCGTTCATTGACGATTCTTATTTCTCCGATGATTCGCTCGAGTAGGCACCCCTCCCGGAGATTCGATCGAGGGGGTTTTTACCTCAGGACGATGCTTTTGTTCCATTCGAACGTTCCATCCTTAGCTGCATGAAAAGGTTCAGCTGTGGCTTTTACGTTGCCGTACACTTTTGGCTGCAACTCTAGCACGGGATGGACTGAGACAATAGTTTCCTTGTGCTACGTTCTCGGCCGACTAGGAGTAGTTTATTTCTCCTCTTCCCCAGAAAGATGGCAGGTCTGATGGTTGCATAAGGTTATATCGCCTATACTCGGACGTCAGAACCTCGTTTGTGTAAACAAGGTGCACCACGTGAAGGTGAGGTTAACTTTTGGGTAAGCTAGGCTATATGTATCACTTCAATTCCCCTAGCACCCCTGTCTAAAAGCTAGTAATTAAATCACAATATTTTTGATAAAACTTGCATAGTAAACAGAAATATATAAATACTAGCCGATGCCTGCCTACTTCGCTATCCACAAACATTTGCAATGCTATATTTCTTTATATGTGGAATATTTCTTTGACTAGTAACTGCAAATTGTCGACATAGGTATAGACATTTTTTACATCGACTTATTTTATAAACGTAATAATTTTTTTCTAATATGAAAAATATTCATAAGAGTGTAATAAAATAATTTAAAATCTTTATCTTTTGACTTCATAATTATGTCAAATACATTTAAAAGACATTATATGTATTTTATAGACAACCAAATAAACTAATAACCTCTAAAAATTATTTTTCCTACCACTAGCGACATGCCGTGTCCTTAGTCAATACTAAATTAGTCACTTGGTCAAAATTTCACCATATAAGTTTCCTGGCCATGGTTATAACTTTTTATTTTTTTACGAATTTTGTGTCGCCATATTATTTTTCCCAGAAAACTAGTCAAATATCAATTCTGGAAACTAGGTTTAGAAAAGGACTCAGCACTAATTAACAGTGACACTATCGCGATTTATCGAAAAAGACTCTAAAATAGTTGGTTGTGTAGCGTGCGGTAGATCTCGGCAAAAATTGAGTGAAATAATGGAACAACTTTTCGCTAGTAAGTGACTATATAATATACATACGTGTAGTAAACCGATCATTTATGAAATTCACTTAAATTAACTAAATTATATATTTTTCTTGCATTTTAGCTTTTATTTATTACTTGTCAAAGATTAGATGTCAAAGAATTTAGATACGTTAATTTGACTTACTGCTTCAGTAGCGTATCGGATTTTGTGGTAATAAATACTTATTATAACTTATCTATTTTTATTAGAATTATATATTTTTATAACAATTTTAATAACTACCAACATTTATTCACAACGTAAAATAAAACAACAAATTATTGAGTCTACCCCACGTCTACCCTACATCGTAGTTTTACATTTTTTAAATAAAATTAGAACGACACTGATAAACCGGAATTTAAGTCGCCCATATTTGAGGCCCATCGCGGTGTACCTAAGATTTTTGATATGCTCCTTCCTTAGTCTTCTTATTCAAAGGTATGATCGAATAAAAACGGCTTCAGCGATGGCTATGAAATGAAGATCGCTGTCATTTTATATGTAAATTCATATGGGAATCATCGATCTTCTTAGCCGACTTGGCGCCTTTTTTTCGATCATATAATATAAGTATACGGTATATTACTATAAGTATACGGTATATTACTATAAGTATGGATTGATTCTAAGTATGTTATAAATCATGAATAGTTTGATTGCTTTCAGTCCAAGGTGTTCGAGATTTGTTTTGGTTGCCCATTGAACAATACCAGAAAGATGGAAGAATTGTGAGGGGTCTCCAGAGAGGTGCAAACAGTTTTACAACATCAACAGCGCTGGCAGCTTTAGAACTAACGTCAAGAATAATATATTTTATACAGGTTTGAACACATATTTATAAATTGATTCTATTGTGGATAGTTCTGATAAAAAATAATAATATTGTTATATACACAATAACACACTTGCAAAAAGATGGCGCTGCGGCGCTCTATTTACAGAAACCATTTCAATGGTTTGTCTAGCCACTGGAGGGTGGCGCTCAGAGCGTTTTTGCTGAACGTTTCGGTTTTTTTGGCGAGAAATAATATCAGCGAAACTATTTTAACAATATACAGGGTGTTCCTTAATGACACAATTATGCTAATATTTAAGGGCATGGGGTTCAACGACCCATTCTAAGAGAAAAACTTCATATAATATGAATGTATTATGTATGTCCTAAACATCTTAATTCCTGAGATACAGGGTGGTAAATTTATCTAAAAAAACTTTTTTTCATAATAACTCTGATTTCAGATATCTGTATGAAACTTGATACACGTCTTCTATGCATCAAAATACCTTTTTGGTGTACAATTTTTTTTATTTATTTCAACCAGTGCAGTCCATATAGGTTTTACATTGAATATTTTTGGAGAAAAAAATTGTACACCACTGACTTCTTTTAAAATAAAAATTATTTTCAATACCTCCATTCATTTCTAAACATTTTTTATCTCTTGATTTTTTTCGTCCAACGCATAGTTTTTTCTTACAAAAATTAAAGTCAGTTTATTTCAGGGTCAAATCGCTGAAAATATGATTTGGTGACTATTGTTTTGAAATCATTTCTGCATCGGCTGGAAGAAAATAAGAAATAAAACAATTTTTTTGTATATCAAAATAAACATTTTGAAGTATGAAAGACGTGTATCAAATATACCATTAGAGATATTTTGAAAAAAAAAATAGAAAATTTTATGACGCTGTATCTGAAAAGTTAAGATGGTTAGGACATATATTCATATCGTCAGTGAAACGTGATAACCTGCTAACTCAATTTTTTGCGTTAATAAGTTTTTTTATACCATTAGAAAGAGAAAAAAATACTCTATAAGTAGGAAAAGCAAATACATTTTTTCCCATTAAAGAAAATTTGCAATTTTAACTCAATAATATCTGCTAACTCCCAGTGATCTGAAATAGCCACCGAAATGCTGCTAAGTCCATAATTTCCGTTACAATCATGCTAAAGCAAACACACGGATTCTTACTCGTATGTTTCTTTACGACAGTACTTCGATTCAGGGTCGCACTAGGCCAAAGGCGTCCAGGTGGCAATGTAAGAAGGGGCCCGTGTTGATTTTTTTGCCTATTTTTTCGCCTTACGTTTTGGTCAATTTTTCCCTATTATATACAGGGTCAGTCTTAAATAAATGCAAATATTTTTAGGGGCAGTATATTTCGACCCAAGAAACACGATTATGATATTTTTTGGGCGAAATTTTTTTTCTTGAAAATTTGGAATTTTTAAAAAAAAATTTTAATTTTTTTTAATTTTTAGTTTAAAAACGTAGTTTGTTTGTAATATGGCAACATAGGTAGTAGATTAAATTTACAAGAAAGAAAATCCAATGATTCTCAAAATTATAGCAAAAAATTGGAAATTTTAAAAGTGAAATAACTTGGTTGTTTTGGATTTTTTTGAAAAAACGGTAAAGAGAAAATATTATGTTTCTTTTATCGGGATTTACCAGCACTGAAAATATTTGCACTTATTTAAGGCTCACCCTGTATAGAAATCAGGGAACTATAGTAAACGCCACGAATGTTTGGGACTGATTTATCGGTCACTACCATGTGAACTAATCTGTTCAAGGTCACATAAAACTTAATTCCAGTGCCGTGGTGTTTCAAGTCATTATAATAATCAATATATAATCTGTTGTAATTTGTTGTTTTAACTGTCAAAGTGTTGTCAAAACATATATTTGGTTATAAATATAAAATGGAATGCCCCATTGGTCGCACTGCAAGCACACCAATGGACTGACGCACAAAAACAAATCAATCAAAGTAACGCGATATAGTATCGTCTTTGTCAATCACACTAACATTTTAGTATAAGTAGGAGGAGCGCAGGCAGATGATTAGACCGGGCCTTTAAAAACCTACGTCTGCGGTAAAAATTAACGTTTTTAATGTAAAAATGATGAGCGCGCGTGTCCATTCTAACTTCATCAAGAGATGAATCACTCCCAAACATTCGTGGCGTTTACTATACCCTAATGCAAGGTGAACCAATGCAATGCAAATGCCATAATGCAATGCAAAAGCAAATATTGTTAAGAATAAATAATGAACTATAAAGGGGGCCCGCTAAGGCTGGGGCCCCCCTAATAGTTAAATACATATATAATATGGCCAGTCCGACCCTGCGTCGATCCGTTCTGTAAATACGGGGTATCCGTAAAGGGGAAAAACGAAATTCTCTATATACGAGCAATTCATCGGCGTGCTATAAATACTAAATAGTTTAAATAACCATTACTTACTTGTACAAGAATTTCCATAATACCTAATCAGTTTTATTTTTTCAACGTTTTTCCACGTAAATGATACATAATTTTTATAAAAATTAAAAAAATAAGGAGAAAAGTAATAAAAATTTAATAAAATCACGCACTCTTGTCCAAGCTCGGTCTACTACCGTTGTATAAAAATTAGGATAAGCATGGAAGGATTCTACCATATCTTCTAAGAATTATAATTTTAATTTTTAAATTATTTTGATATTCATTTCAAGTCCAAAATGCTGCTACTTCAGATCTTTAAAAATACATTAAAAATTTATTCGTTTTTGGACTTGTATGTTTTGCTTCTAGACCGACGATATTATAAATATATGGTTATGAATATCATATTTTTTAAATTTAATTGATTATTTCTAAATCTGTTTGGGTAATATCCAATTCCATTTTCAAAATTTCAAACAATAAAGGTTGCTATCTCCAGAAGTATATTTTTATTTCTTATTTCTGCAAGACGATCTGCTATCTCCCTATTGTGTCTGAAAAAAATGATGTAACACGAAATATTGAGTTTTGTTGTTTCCCAGTAAATAAAATTCTTATCTCTTTATCATATTAACGCATGAAAATGCTTCCTACATGTGTACATATTTTTTTTTGTACCGTTTTTTTGCTCTCCTGTAAAATTAGGAATAATGGAGTTAGCAGTTTATCACATTTCACCGACGATATGAAGTTTTTTTTCTTAGAATAGGTCCAAGAATCACCTCCTTAAATGAAGAGTGTATGTATTTACATAGAATTGAGGGCTGAATATTTTGGGAATCATTTATTTATCATTATTTTATTTATCTTTATTGTTTTCAGCTATAAAAAAGTACTTTTTAAATACCTTTATTTTATATATAGATTACAGCTGAAACAGCTTATGATATGCTCTCACCTGGCCCTAGTATAAGAATGAGGAAGAAACTGAAGCAAAAAGGAAGAAAGAAACGTCATCATCAACCTCAGGATATTAGGGAGGGGTTGACTAACGCTTGCATGGTTGTCCGAGAGGTAGGCCTAAATGAAAATAAATGTTACATAGCTGTTTTATAAAAATTCCTTTTATAAAATAGCTTAGTTAAAAATTTAATTAGAATAGAATACCTTATCACAAACTGAATATATTTACTTTTATTAATTTAAAATTTAGTGTAAAAAAGATAAATTTTAATATTAAATACTCTGTTTAAATTTACCGTTTTTGTAGGAAAAAAATTGAAAGAACAATTCTCGGTGAACGAAAATTTGAATCACCTAAATGCCATAGTTAGTTGTCAGTTCAAAATAGTGTTGCTCAAATGACAATACAAGTGGTTATCTATTCTATTTCAAAAATCAAATTTTTGACTAGTCTTATGGATAGTCGTAGCTGTTCGTAAGTTCAGTTTTAAGATAATTATCATGATTCTTGTTACAAAAATTTGCAGGCTTATTAACATAAATGTTTTTACTCGCTCTATCATATACGGCACTGGATTCTTTATCTCCGTGGTTCGTATTTTAATGCATGCGACAGAGAAAAATATAATAATAATTTAATGTGGAACAATATCGGGTAGCGATCTGTAGATTCAGTTTAAACTAATTTGTTTTTAAACTCTTTAAGGAATGTAAAATTTTTTGTATGACTTGAGAAATAAAGATTATTATTATTATTATATGTGATAGTGGTAATCTCGACCGTACTTCTAAATTTAATGTGGAACAATATCGGGTAGCGGTCTGTAGATTCAATTTAAACTAATTTGTTTTTAAACTCGATATTTCGTTAATTTTTATTAACTTCTTCAGGAGTAACTACAATAATAAATATAAAGAGATGAGATTAATTCATATCATTACACAAAAAAAAGGGAGAAAGGGGAAAAACAACTATAATTTTTTTCCCTATAGCACATTTCATCAAAGGTCACTCACTTAGTGAATAAAAGAAAATAATAATTAAAACTATATAAAAAATTCTGTAACTTACAACATTTATTATGGTCATTGAATATAATCCTATTATAATATTTATTAGTCATTGAATATAATCCTATTATAACACGAACATTTTACAACTTGCACAAGACAAAACATTTCAATCTAAAATATATGTCAACAATTAACAAACCAAGTACAGTGGACAGAAACAGTATCAGTACTGATATTTAATATTCACGTGAAAACGCTGCGGAACAATGTATCTTTATTATCACCGTTGTTTTTTTATATATATATTTTTTTATAAATTTCTCGCATTAAGACCAAACGATTAATTTCTTTTCTATTTTATTGCTCTTTTTTCCCTCAAAAGATAGTACCCCATATAAAGGAATTTACATGTCATTTTTGAATATGATCTAACAATTACATGTTACTATTTATCGACTTAATATGTTACAATATATATTGCTTAAGTTGTTTAAATCCGATTTATAGTTAATACAGTTTTTATTTTTCTGTATATTCACTATTTCCAGAAACAACCTCTTTCCATAACTCTTTTCGAAATCCAACACTCGTGCATTTTCAAAATCAAAATTATGCCCTGTGTTTATATGATGGTGTTCTTCGCTAATCGACAATCACTCTTATGTCGGGAGATTCTCTGCTTCAACCATTGTCCCGTCTGACCGATATAATTCCTTTTACACTCTATACATATTAACTCATAAATCACATTGCTGCTGTACATAACTGGTGTTTTGTCTTTAATTTTAGTAAATAGTGAGAAATTTGTTATTTGATTGTATCTAGCTATTTTTATTTCAGGAAACGGTTTGAAAATGTTTGTAATTGAATTGCTTAAACCATCTATGAAGGGTAGTTTTTTATATTTTATGTTACTCATATTACCTCCCTCCTCTGTTGGGCCATCAAAGATGTTGGAATTATAAATTAATTTATTTAAAATGTGTTTCGGATACCCGTTATTCAAAAATATTCCGAACAGTTTTTTAAAATTATTTTTTAAAAAGGTTTCGTGACTAATATGACACACCCTGTTTTTCATAGCAATCACTTTTGGTTCTTCGGGTGATTTGACAAATAATTTATGAATCTACCCGATGCCGTCTCCTTTTGATACCAATCAAGAATAATTGTATTGTTTAATGTTCTTATTACCCTTGTATCTAAAAATGGTACACTCTTGTTTGTTTCTATTTCAACTGTAAATTGTAGATGTTTATTAAATGCATTAAAAATATCGATAGTTCCTTCTATCATAAGAGACGGAACCGCACATATTAGGTCATCGACATATTTATATAGAAAGAGCATGTTAAAGGGTAATTTAGGGATAACATTTTCAAGAAGATGGTCTAATAAAACTCTGGCTATAATTGGGCTAATTGGTGATCCCATGGGTGTGCCAAAAACTTGTCGATACACCTTATTATTAAAAGAGAAATAATTATTATCAAATACGAAATTAATTAATTTTATAAAATTGTTTTTTGAGATTGTCGTAAATTTTTCTAATTTTATTTGTATGATATTGACCACCAATTCGAGTGGAATATTGGTGAAAAGGGAAACCACATCTAAGGATATTAATACGTAGTTTTCCGGTAACTGCAAACCGTTCACAGAGTTAACAAAATTAAATGTGTCTGTGATGTTATAATCATTTTCATTATCTAACGAAGAGTTTATAATATAGGCCAAAAATTTTGATAACTGGTAGGTTGTTGCTGATACAGAACTAACAATCGGACGCAACGGAATACCTAGTTTATGGATTTTTGGTAAGCAGTATAATTTAGGAATTACCGAATTGTAAATTAATAAACTTTTCTTTTGTTGTTCCGTTAAATCCTTAGAGACACCCAGGGCTTTTATGACATTGTTGTATTTTGTTTGAATCGTGGAAGTAGGGTCTTTTTTAAGTTCAATATATGTAGTTTTATCATTTAACAGCTGTTCGTTTTTTTCTATATAAGAGTGTTGGTTCATGGCCATTGTGCATCCCCCCCTTATCTGATTGTAATATATAAAGATTCGGGTGTGACTTCAAAAATTTTTTTGTTTTTTGGTAGGTCGCCTTAAAGGGTGATCTCTCTTGGTTTTTACAACTATTTAGAAAATTAGTGGTGGTGTTAGTTACCTTCGCTCTAGCTATATCTTGATTATTTTCTGGGATCTCATCAATTATACTTTCGACGTCGGCGAGAAAGTGATCTAGCTTAATATCACGCGGACCACACGACACGCCAAACTTAGGACCAAGAGATAAAAAATCCGATATTTCTTTTGGTATTTCGACATCGGAAATATTCTTAAACCATTTTGAATTGTTTATAAAAAGAGAATTTGTTTCAGGATTACATAGTTTATTAAATTTGTTAATATTTATTCGTTTGATCTTATTAAATTTATTGCTAAAACTTTGTTTCAGTCTTCTTGAAAATTCATTAAATAAATCTGTTGGCAATATTGTAACCAATTCTGTCGTTATCTCGGTAATATAATTTATAATTTTTATCTCTTGTTATTAAAAATAACAAATTTCTTACTTTGTTGAGATATATTTTAGATTGAAATGTTTTGTCTTGTGCAAGTTGGAAAATGTTTGTGTTATAATAGGATTATATTCAATGACTAATGCCCACTTGCACCGTTTGTATAAACTTTGTTTAAAGGCTAAACAGTGATTAACTATAATAAAATATGTAGAGTTAATCACTGTTTAGCCTTTAAACAAAGTTTATACAAACGGTGCAAGTGGGCATAAATGTTGTAAGTTACAGAATTTTTTATATAGTTTTAATTATTATTTTCTTTTATTCACTAAGTGAGTGACCTTTGATGAAATGTGCTATAGGGAAAAAAAATTATAGTTGTTTTTCCCCTTTCTCCCTTTTTTTTGTGTAATGATATGAATTAATCTCATCTCTTTATATTTATTATTGTAGTTACTCCTGAAGAAGTTAATAAAAATTAACGAAATATCGAGTTTAAAAACAAATTAGTTTAAATTGAATCTACAGACCGCTACCCGATATTGTTCCACATTAAATTTAGAAGTACGGTCGAGATTACCACTATCACATATAATAATAATAATAATCTTTATTTCTCAAGTCATACAAAAATTTTACATTCCTTATGTAAATAATATAATAGTAACCTAATTAATACAAATATTTACAAACTGCCAGACATAATTTGTTTAATAAATGTACACCGTTTCAGTTCTGCAGTGACTGCATTTTTTCAATTCTAGGACAGCATAAATAAAGTAATTAATTCATAATAAAAAAAGCAACGGTGTATATTTTCATTTGTTTTTACAGTTTCTTTTAATTTACATCATTTAAAAAATAAGAAATATATTCATCATATAGAATATTTATATTTAGAATCAATACAAAATAATCAAATTCCAACTCAAGAAATAAATTGAAAGACCCCAGAAGTCCGAAAACTTGTACGGGGTGTCTATCAAAGTAGCTTTGTTTGAAATAGTTAAATGTTTGAATTATATAAATATATGTGCTTGAATTATAAATAAAAAATATAATACTAGTTAATAAGTCAAATTAAAAACTACATATAAATTTACAAGTCAAAATAATAAAAAAAAACGATTGTATTGCATACAACCAAAGTCACATGACAATTTGAGATATTAGGTAATAAATAATATAATCTTTCAACACAAAATAATCAACTTAATATTATACCATATATACATAAAATATAAATAAAAATTTTCTATAGTACAAGTGTTAGAATAATAGAAAAAAACATAAAAAAATTAAGAAAAAATACACTTAAGGCTTGTACATTATAGAAATACAATTACACTGTCATTGATTACACATTAACATTTGATAAAGATATGTATACTTAATAATAAATGAGTCTTGTTACTTATCAATTATTTTTAAAGCATATTATGTGTTCAACATGCCAAAAAAATATATATTATCATTTCATCATACAAATCCAGTTACAAACCAATAAAACTTCTAATACTTATAAAATACCCGACTGAGATCCTGATCTCAAACGTCTTGCTGTTA